AGAGATGAAACAATTCATATGAATCAGATGTTACAACGGGCATCGGTGTATCAATGGCAGGATAGAAGTGAGCGAGAGAAGAGACGCTGGCTGGCGGTGAATATGGATTTTCCGTCCCAGTTGCGGTCGACATCAGATCAGAGACCCTTGGATGTCCAATGAGATGCTAGTGGAGAAATATTGTCGTTGTTGAGCGTGGAGTATTTCTCCGGATACGGCTTGGTACAGCTAGATATTCGCTGATCACTGGCATGGGGGTTTGCATGTTAACGACTCAACGATGTTGGTGATCTGCAACTCAGAGGCACAGTGAAAATGAATTGTTTCGTCTTGTCCGTTCTGCTTGTGTGATTAAAAATACAACGCTCTCCCAACCAATGCCGTTCAACCTTTTTTTAAACAAGTAGAGCTCCTCCGGCAAACGCAATGGTCATTAGAGTTATCATGCCGACGCCGTTTGCTGACCAAGCCTGCAGCGCCGCGACAGCGTTGTCGCTCGTTGTTGAGGATGCAGCTGAGCCGGTGCCGGTAGCAGTGCCTGAAGCGGTGCCGCTCGATGAGGCATCGGCCTTGGAGTCGTTGCCGACAAGCGCGGAGAGTTTGTCGTCGTCGACGAATGAGGCCTTCACCGAGGTTGCGTTCTTGCAGTCGCTGGGAGGATCGGCCTTGCCCTTGACGAAGTTGGCAGCGATGCACTTGTACTTTTGTTAGCATTTTATTTATAAACTCTAGAGCAAGGACATACCTGGTAGAGAAGACCATCAACGGCGGAGGATACAACGTTCACCCAGCCCTTCTTGCCAGCGTATTTCTCGGGGACAGTGACCTGAGGCTGGCAAAAGGCACCAAGGCCGCTCTGCTGAACAATAGGAAAGACCTGCTCCCAATCGCCATCGGCCTTCTCGTTGAGGGTCACGCGGAAGAGCCAGTTGCCCTGCTGATGCGTGGATAGCAGAGCAATAGCCTCGCCGCCGACGTGGAAGTCAACGAGCTTGTCCTTGGAGAGGTCAGGCGTGAAGCCGCCGCAGGGGGACTCGCCCTCGTTGTCGTCCTTGAAACCGATGGTCTCGGGATACTTGACCTCGAAGTGGGCGAGGGAGACGCCGCAGAGGAGCGCGGTTGAGAGGAGAGTAGAGGAGCGCATTTTGATGTGTTTGGTGTTATGGGGAGTGTGTGGTTCGAGAGGGCTGAGGTGGGCGGCTGAGCTGCTTTTGTAGGAGTTGCGGATATTGGCAAGGGGATGAGGGAGAGGCTGAGCTAGTGGGAGCTGTGTTTCGCTAACAAGGTATGCTGCCTTACGGTGTTGGATATCAGGCCGTTGTCAGAGATGAGCTTCCATTGGGGGTCATCCAACTCAAATACTTGAACGTGATGGTATTGTTGACTTATGTAGTCAGATATTTTATCAGCTGGAGTTACACATATTTCCCGTTTCACAGCATGAATGCACAGCATCTGCAAACTCCCCATCATGAAAGCTACGTCATTGAGGCTCTGTGCTCCCATGATGAACCCTTCCATCAATGCAAGCCATCTTCACTAGCCTGAAGCAATTCACGCCAATTCCACATCAAACGTGCATCCGAAACACCCAAAGCCTCAAAAAAACGCCCATTCTTCAACGTCGAAGAGACTTTCCACTGCAGCGTCTAGCAGTGTAAGCCTCCATCGCCAAATGCCGTGTTAGTGGTGAGCACGTTTCGTTCTACCTACCCCAAGAGTCCAGACCTCGCAGGGGAAAAAACAGGGGTCCTTGACGTGCGGAGGAGCCAATCAGAATGGGAGCGTGCACGGACCTGAGGTTATTTGAGCAAGTTTTCTTGTCGTGTTAGTGAGCGAGTTTTTTGTCAGACCATGAATAGTTGAATTGCTGTGAGAAGGTTTGAAGATTGGTGATAAGTATCGGGTATTCGGCATGCACGGATAGAACGGATGCAGTTTTGGGGGAGATTTGAAAGAGATGGTAGTTGAGAGTTTGAGTTTTGGTAATTTTATGCGCAATTTGACGGTTGTTCGACGTTTCTACTGCCGGGTGTAGCCTCAAAGTATCAAGCTCGCATCGCTTGATTGCCCAATCTAAAGAGGTTAGTTGCAGATACAAGCGATCCGATGGGCATCTCGCCTCGTCTGGCAATCACACTCCGCGGGGTTAACTCTTCTTCACTATCCAACATCAGCACTCGGGCTCTTCATACCCGGCGACCTGTGACATTCACATCTTGTTCGATACAGTCACCGTCAGCCAAGAAGCGGTTTCATCATATCAACTTGCTCATTCATTCTCACTCGAGTGTCAACGAGTCACACAGTCAGAGGGAAACTGGACACTTGCACTCGAACAAAACTTGGCTTGTTTGCAGGTGACATGAGCAACTGAAGCGCAAGACCATACCATCATAGCAGCACTGTTCATGAGGTAGAGACACATCGGCTCTATCACGACGCTGGCCGTCTGAATCGTCCCTTCAACTCAAGTCACATCGAACCCGCGCCGGTGGCGCACCATAGCCCATCATGGATATGGACCACATGCATCATGACCCCGGCTTGCGGATGGATGTCAACTATGCCTTCGCTCGAGGATACTGGTATTCCATCGCTGGTGTCGTCGGCGCACTCGCTGCTATTCGTGGCATCAACTACCTCGACGCTCAGCAAAGGTATGTCGCTTGACGACCTCTTGCTAAACACGCTGACACTTTACCAGATTAAAAGCATGTCGCGATCCGTCAATAGACCATCCAACACGTCCACGAGGGGCATTTAGTCAAGCATGGGCGACAGCAACCGCTGTCGTCCGCGAAATGGGCCATCCGCAATACTATATCCCCATCAATGGCCTTCGATGGGCAACACCGCTTCCACTCGGTCGAATCATCGTCCTGGCATGTTATTGGGTCGTCATTGTCTATTTGATGAGCTGGCAGGTTTCAAAAAACGATGTATACTACTGGGAGCGCATCGGATATCGCAATGCATGGGTCACTCTAACCCAGTTCCCGCTACTCTACCTTCTGGCGACAAAGGTCAATGTTATCGGGTTCTTGATAGGGAGTAGTCATGAGAGGCTGAACTGGCTGCATCGATGGGTTGCGCGGACCATGTTTGTCACTGCGACGGTTCACGGCTTTCATTTCTGGACTATGTGGGTGCGCGCTGAGTTTCTGGACTACGCGCTTCAGATTATGCCGCTGGTCAAGTATGGACTCGCAGCATGGGCTATCCTGCTCTGGAACGTCGTCACTGGAATTGTTCCCATTCGAAGATTGTCATATGAGGTTTGGGTGGCTCAGCATGTGCTTACTAGTATCATCACGCTGTGGTTGCTGCACAAGCATATTCCCTCGAATGCCCGATGGCTTTTGTGGATGAGTGTTTCGTTCCTCGTTTTCGACCGCGCCATGAGATGGGTGCTTCTCCTTTGGCAAAATGCCCGTCTTCGACCACAAGGAACAGAATGTCAAGGCATGAAACACCTTGGGCATCGAGTCGTTACCCGCGTTGTTGGACAAGCCACGACTGTCGTTACCATCAAGGATGTACACTTCAAGTGGAAGGCAGGACAGCATATTTACCTCTGGGTCCCACGCCTTGGACCCTTCGAAGCGCACCCATACACAATCGCATGTGCGCACAAAGTCGAAGGCGCATGTTGCTGCAACAGTATACAGCTTGTCGTGCGCGCCCATAACGGATTCTCCAAACGACTACACGAGCATGCTACAAAGAATTCGGGATCCGAACTTACGGGCTTCGTATCAGGGCCATATGGCGTCCCCCCGAAATGGAATATTTACGAAACGCTGGTACTCATTGGAGCGTCAACTGGAGCCAGTTTCGTTGTCCCCATCCTCGAAAGTATTGCAGCAGCCCAAAAATCGAATTGCACACAAAGAGTCGAAATTATCCTCGTTGCGAGAACATCTCAAGAAATCCAATATTACGTCGAAAGGGCCGAAGAGGCTGGAAGAATGGTACGAGCCAAAGGCGTCGATGTAAGCATCCATATCGCCATAACAAGCTCCAATCAATCAGGTCCGGTCTTTAGTCGATCAGAGTCCTCAAACACAAGCGACTCGGACGACATCCAACCCGTCAAGGGACCAACAACAGGGTGCTGCTGCAGCGCAAACGGTCCAGACGAGAAAGGCTGTCCAAGCGACTCTCCCTGCCGCGGGAAGATAACCGCCACTGTTCCAGAGCTCATCCGCGAATACACGTGCAGACCAGACATCGAGGCCATGATTCGCGAGCCGGTGGAGCAGGCTTGGGGAGAAACAGGGGTCGTTGTTTGCGGCGGGCGCGAGATAGTGGCACGGACGAGGAATTGCGTGAGTCGTTTGAGCGATGAGCGAGCTGTGCATAAGGGAACAGGAGCGCAGGGGATATATCTGCATGTCGAGGAGTATTCATTTTAATTTAGGGTCGATAGGTAATGACGATGCGATGATTGAAGGCTGAGTGCAGTGAAGTGAAGTGAAGTGGTTGAACAGGACAGGGATTAGTCGGTGGCGGTTAGAATGTGGTGGTGGTGTGCTACGGCAACAAGCCCAGGTCTAGGCAAGGTACCTGGGTCAGGCCAGGGGGATCAAACAGAAGCCTCCACTGTCGGTTAACAAATACTGTACTACATGCATTGACGTATGATGAAACAAACACTCTCCTCCCTCCATCTTTCACTCTCGATATCGGGATACTCATTCCAATTCTAGCCCATCGTGGAATGCAAAACCGAGTCATCCAAATCCACCCTCTAAAGCCCCCGGCACGTCGATAGCTCCCTTTCACTAGCACTGGATACTACCCTCAACTAGGCTAGCCTCAGCCTCTCCAATTGGTTCCTCTCGCCTGACCCTTGAACCCCCGAATCGCCATTCCTCCACTTTCTCTTCATCACTTTATTTCCTCTCCAGCATCAACAACGCTGTGTCTCTCTTTTCCTTTTCTTTAAATGCTTCATCGCTGAGGCTTTTTTTTTTTTTTCTTTCCTTCAGCGCGCCATGCCTTCAAGGCCCCGGCGGCGTAATCGCCCGGAGAGGCTGTCGAGGCCTTATGCGATGGTGCACGCGGGTGTGAGATTGATTGCTTGGATTACCAGCCTCGCTTCGATTCTGATGCTCGCATTTGTTTGCAAAGAATGGCCTTCCAAGAGTCAGGTCATTATCGCTGGTGCTGTCGGTGTGAGTAACCCCTCTTCTCAGAATTTCTGGTTACGCAAAACTGACGTGCTCTAGTGTGCAATTGCAATGCTCAACGACAGCTGGGACGTGCTAGCAGTGACAGATGCTTCATTCACAGTCCCCAGATTAGCTACCTCGAGAAGAGTCCTGCACGACTTGTTCTCTCTAGCTCTTTGTGTTGGCGGAATCATCATGATGTGGGTATCAAACATCAACATCACCGATGACAAAAACGCCGAGCAGAAGCGTCAAGAACAGTGGCTCATGGCTGCCCTATGGGCTTTGATCGCCGTGGTGTAAGTTTCCCCCTCTTTGAAAGGGTCACGTTACTGATACGCGTGATGTAGTGGCTGGAGATTAATCTTTGCTGTTTGGGGATGTGTGGATTGTACTGGCGAGGCCAGACGTGCTGCGCGGAGAAGACAGCGACGGAGGGGGAGAGAGAATGATCCCTGGCGACAGATGGGGATTCTCTGAATAATGCGCTATTGTATTACGATTTGAAGTTTTGATGGCAGACGAGAAACGCGACATTCATGCATTCAACGGCGCTTGGTGTTTGGGACATTGACACGATAGACATGCCGACTTGTTTACTACGACTGAGATTCTTTACGGCGAGAGGATTTTCGATGACATTATGGGACCGAACCACCACCAGGGTTGATTGTGGCATTGATCGGCCCGGTAACGACTTGTCTATGCCGTCATGCCTTGAACCTCAGTACCACCGATTTTATGGCTGATTCTTCTGGACCTTCCTATACGACTTAGGGGATCCGTGAGAGCATTGGCGCGCGAACTTTGACGTCACTTTGATCTTGTGCAGGAAGTGTATGGACGACTGTCAAGCCAGATCATACCGAAATACTTGACAGCGTCGACGCGAGCATTTACCAGGCGCACTTTATTTTATGAATGTTAGCGCTGAAGCTTGTGAGATATGGATTTGGTCACATTGCTCTTGACAATCGCCGAATGACAGTGATGGAATCCGTCGTCGAACTTTCTGAGCAATGGGCGAGACCAGCCAAGAGGACTACGACCTCTGTTGTTAAAGCCGTGGGGGGGGCGCTGCGGCGCATATGAGGTTTTAAGTTCCCCAGCAGCTTTGATGAACAGCCCATCTCTCGGCGCAGAATCGGTTACAGAAGGAGAATGGGATACAGAACATCTTGACGACCGCTTGTTGGCTTATTGACTTTGAGCCTCAAAGTTTTTATAGCGTTTACTATCGAACCCGAAATACCAACTGTTTTCAACATCAATACCGCCTCTAGATTCCATCCTTCACTTTTTCCCCAGGATTCTCTGAACCTTTGGTTACAGTAATAGCACCTCAGCAAGCCCCCTGACGTTATCTCGAGGTGGTTCATGTGATTTATCGCTTGGGGTCGATGGGTATGGCTCCTGCTTCACAGAGTTACTAAATCTGTAGATACCGACTGCATTGAGTTTGCTTGCAGACTATCCCCGAGGCTAACGCTCCTACCAGCTGGTGGTTTCGAAGAGCCTCGTGAGCTAATTCGTCTAAAACGATGAGAGACTGATACGTTCTTTTTTTCATGCCATTACCCTCATCAGGAGGTTATCGGGAACCTTATTGCCCATCGGCTGTCTGTAGTCCGCTTTACAAGGCCCGGAATCAAAGAATATTCTTCCTCGACTGGCTGCAGAGACGTGGCTTTACACAATACATGTGATGGCTCCCCTAGAACAGCCAGGGAGAATCACTGCAGATGACGATACTACTCTTCTGGACATCACATCTCGAACCAATGAGAAGCCGAAGCAAAATGGCAGTAGCAGCCGAGAGAAAAACGAGCAACAAGAACCAAGAGAATCTCCAAAAAACATCCTAAGAAGGCCTGTGAAAGAGCACGAACATGACCAGAATTTCCCCGACGAGCTTCTCAACCGGGCACGCGAATATCTCGAAAACAAAAATGACGAACAACAAGACACTGAGCTAGGCCAGAACATCTCTAGAGACTTCAAGGCTCAGAAGGAATTGATGCTAAATAGCTCCATCTATCCTGAAGTCCGAGCTGTTGTGGATGATACGGATGACCCGACCTTGCCAGTCGGCACATTCAGAGTACTCCTTTTGGGGACAACATTTGCAATCATTGGCACTGGACTTGAACAATTCTTTTCACTCCGAATGCCTCCCATTGGCCTTTCAACATTTATTGTGCAGATTTTGGCGATGCCCGTGGGGAAGCTGTTGGCGAAATGGCTGCCGACGAGGAGATTCCGGGTCTTTTCGTGGGACTTCACACTCAATCCTGGACCGTTCAATCAGAAGGAGCAGATTCTCATTGCAATGATGGCGAATGTAACCTTTGGTGGATCTGCCATTGGAGCCTACATCGTGAGCATTATCCAAGTTCTGAAACTGGATGTGTTTTACGGGGAGAAGAACCTCTCGAATAGTATTCCTTGGCAGATCCTCACGCTCATATCGACCCAGTTCTTCGGATATGGATGTGCTGGCCTGGTTCGCAGGTTTCTGGTATACCCGCCCTCAATGATCTGGCCAAAAGCGCTTGCAAATATTGCACTTACCAAGGCGTTGAACAAGGACAATGGAAATTCAGAAGATACAGTGCACGCATGGAAGATGTCGCGATACAAGTTCTTCTTGATCTGCTTTACTTCCATGTTCTTTTATTTCTGGATTCCCAATTACTTGTTCAAGGCTCTTTACCTGTTCAACTGGCCGACATGGATATCACCAGGCAACGTCACACTCGCCCTCATAGCTGGATCAACCTGCGGTTTGGGCCTCAACCCCTTACCAACATTGGACTGGAACGTCGCCACGTATCTCGGCGACCCTATAGTAACGCCCTTCTTCACGCTCATGAACTATGCAAGTGGGATGGCAATATGGGGCTTCATAGTCGCGCCACTAGTATACTTCAACAATGTCTGGGACACGGGCTACCTCCCTATCAACAAAAACTACATCTACGATAACCACGGCTCGCGGTACAACATCTCACGCGTATTGCTACCCGACCTTACGCTTAATCACACTGCGTACCACGAGTACAGTGTCCCCCTCATGACTTCCACTCAGGTGATCAAGTATGCGGCTGCCTTTATGATATATGTTGCTACACCCGTGCACATGTACCTCTGGCACCGCAAGGATATCATGTCTGGGATACGGGCTTGTTGGGCACGCAAGTCGCGAGACGAGGAGTTCAATGATGTACACAACCGTCTTATGTCTGCATATCCGGAGTGTCCTCACTGGTGGTACATTGTCATTCTTGTTGCATCTTTCATCATCGCCTGTGTCTCGGTGAGCCTGTGGCCAACTGGCATGCCAATATGGGGCATCGTTCTAGCTGTCCTCTTCACCGTCGTGTTGCAAATTCCAATTGGAATGCTCTTGGCTGTTACGAACGTGGAGATTTCAACACGTATCATCTCCCAGCTTATTGCTGGCTATGTGTTTGAGGGCCAACCAATTCCGAACATGGTTTTTCAGATGTTCAGTTTTATGTCAACACATCAGTCGCTCAACTTTGCTAGTGACCTCAAGCTCGCGCACTATGCCAAGATTCCACCGAGATGGGCATTTGCAGCACAGGTTTATGCGACGCTTTTGGCAGGGTTTGTTGGGTTGGGCGTGAATCACTGGTTACTCCGTAACGTTGAGGATGTATGTCAAGCACATCAGAAAGACCGCTTCACGTGTCCACGTACGCACACTTTCTTCATGTCCTCAGTGATATGGGGCGTCGTCGGCCCGCGTCGATTGTTCGGCACGCAAGGCCCCTACCGGGCCGTCACATACACAATCCCCGTCGGTGTGATACTCCCCATAGCCGTCTACTTCATGTCCAAGCGGTGGCCCAACGCCTTCTGGCGCAACGTCAACGCGCCAATCCTATTCTGCGGACCGATGGCTTGGGCTCCGTTCAACTGGAGCTACGTGCAGGGCTCGATAGTTCTGGCGTTCGTGTTCAACAAGGTGATCAAGAGGCGGTATGCGGCGTGGTGGGAGAAGTACGCGTACGTGCTGACGAGTTCTATGAGCGCGGCTATTGGTATCTCTGGCGCGGTGATGTACTTTGCGGTGCAGCATCCGGGGATTGAGCTGAATTGGTGGGGGAACAGGGTTCAGATGGAGGGTGTTGATCAAGGGGGCTTTGTGGCCGATGGACAGGTTGTTAGCTGCTCGATGCTGAAGGTGCCTGAGAAGGGTTACTTTGATATCGGGTTCGACTGGAAGGTGTAAGTCAAGTTGATTCGGTGCTGAGAAGTGTTTGCATATCGACAATGGAACTGAAGTATTTCATTATCTGTCTACTCTAACTGTTAAGATATCCAGCGTAGTCAATGTATTTTTAAAACTGCCATGAAGATGTTACCCATAAGAAATTGTTAACAACCTAATATTAGGCTTGGATAGCACAGACTTGGAGTGATCTCACCCGGAGGCGAGGGCCAAGAATAGCAACACGAATGTCCCTGACAGCTGACACTGGCACACGCTTGGTTAATAATTAGACTTTGCCTTTTGACATAATTAGCAACTGAATTTGCCATCAAAGTCTACCTATTAACCGCGCGCGGATAATGAAACATGCGGCCACAAACGCGCCGTCGATCTGCAACCCGATAACGTCGCCACTCTGTTGGTTGTTGGTTGTGTGTATATTACTATTTCGGTGAGGCCAGAATGATGACCGAGACGGTTACGAAGCACCAATCATCTGATACACAGTCAAAAGCCGCGATGAGACTGAGACAGGGCGCCAGAGGAATCCATTTTAAATAAACTTTATCATGATAAACGTATCATCGTTTCGAACGTGGGCGTTTGGTGTTGAAGATACAAGTGTAAGTCGCATACCCGGGAGTTCGGTTCGGCGCTTGGAGTTAAGGCGGGAGAGTCTGCGTGGCAATCGCTGCAATGGACACTCGAAATGGAACAAAAGTGGCCATCGGAATTAAGAAACGATCATGAGAACATCTTGTGTAAGCTGAACTCGAAGGAAGAGGCAACCAAAAGCATGCGGAGTTAAAGTCAACAAGGAAGAGAAAAGCGATGATGGAATGGTCCGTAGGGAATGAGGTATATCAATCCAAACATGAAAGCTGCTGCGCCTACACTGCTCTCACTCACTGATGAGGCAGTGCCACAGAAGCGAACGAGCTACAGCAGAAAATCACCAGGGTCAAGGTTCTGCCTTACAGGGCTGGATGGCGCCATTCCGCTTTAGGTCTTGAAGATGGGGTCGAGTTTGAGGCCTTTGCTCAGCCCTTTTTCTCTTTTCTTCAACGGATGCATCATGCAGGCATTGATTCTTGATCGAGATGCTGCTGCATGAGATGATTACAATTCAAACTGCGAAACAAACTCCTTTGAGAAATCAGAAGATCTTTTCGGCGAGGCAGCCAAAAAGGCAAAGTCCTCCTAGTTTTGGGGGCCGTTTCGTGCGTGCGTGCGTTGTTAG